AGAAAGTCAACTATTTGCTATGGAGATAGGACATAATAAAGGTCTCACTGTCGTTTGGGAAAAGAAACATGACCAAAAAAAAAAAGTAAATGGTATTCAAATTTGCGAAACGGCTTTTTCTTGATACGAAATGGTATTTTAGGAAATCTAGTCAATAAAAAGTCCACGAAATCCAAACAGCTGTTGGTTTCCAACACCTTTTAAAATCACATTACTATTATATATATTGATAAAACTTCTGTTAGCAAGAGTTAATCATTATTCACTCAAATTATTGGTCCATTTCTGACTGGCAATAAATCCCCTAAGCTAATCAAAGCTTTTATAAAGCCGCTAACCCTTCCCGGCATACTTGGAAGATTTACGTTTTTCATCTAGTAACTTCGACGATTGACATCGATCGTCGAATAACAGAAAGTTTATGGGATATGTAGAACGTGAATTACTGAACGACTAACACCATACAAAACTGATATCAATCGGAATCATGATTTTTAGCCGACTCTCATACATTCTCTTGCGTGGTCCCGCAAAATACAAACCCTCACAAGCCTGGGCTGCTGTAGCCGGCGTAACTGGTGGTCTGGTGAGCGCGTGCAAATGAGCCTCGAAGCCGCAAAATTCAACCTCAAGCGCACGCCTGGTAAACGAGCCCCCTTGCCCGACCGCGTGAGATACCAGAGACGTAAACGTATACTTATAGAGCGTTAACAAGACACGTCCGCCAAATTGGTGTTTCAAACCAATGAAACGCGGCGGCCATGTTGGTGTTGGCAACCAGTCCTGTGGGAGTTAACCTGTTTCCTATGTAAAAACTTTCCTTTGTTCCAATAAAATTGCCGGCCATGTGTAAAACGCTCTATGGTGGTGAATACATCATTTGAACAGGTTCGATTGCTTTCGAGGAAATTAGGGCCTGTTTACATGGAGGTGGGGGACCCAAAATAGGCGAGGTAAGATGTGGCGGGTCACCCCATCTATCATGTAAACGTGATCAAAGTAAAATGAGAGAGCATATGGGCAGGCAGGTTACCCACCTATGAGGGGTACCTCACCTACCTCGGGTCCCCCACCTTTATGTAAACAGGCCCTTAAAAAGATCTACGCACAACCTACGTATCTTCCTAAAAAGTAATAAATTCATTTAACTTATAATGTTACCTTTCTTCGTTATTTCGATTAAATGTCGCGATCAATAACAAAGTTATTATAATGTCGAATCATGAAACAACTAAAACTATAAGACTGGGGCCTATCATCTCTAATTAACACTCTAACAAAGTGTAAAAATCAAATTAAAATTGGTCAGCTTGGCAAATAAATATAGTGGCTACAAATTTTATAAAAAAATAGTGTAGTTTTGGGGCCAGCTTGGAATAAAACTTAGAAGGGATAATAAGTACTCAAGGCTGCCTGCGAGATCCGGATGGGAACACTGAAAATTGCAATTAATGTTGTTATTCCGGAAAAAAACGACTAAATAATAGAGAATGATTTACCTACTTATAGTTCCGAAATAATGAAAGGTCGTTAACGAAGGCGGAAAGAGTGATTATCATATTTGATGAGTCTTCATTCTTCAGCAGTTAAGCAGAGACTCTGGAAGTTAAGCGTCATTATAAATTTGGTGGTTAAGCAGATGGATGAATGAATCACTTTTGGATCTCCCGAAAATAGGCGTCAAATAAAATTGCAGGCCTAGATGGCGGGCTGAGTTCTTTTCCGACATGAAACAGAACTGGTTCTGCAAAATCTTCCTTGATCTTGACCCTGTTAAATGCAGCAGTAAGGTGAAGAGGCTAATTTTTCCTACTCTATTGCTATTTAAAGTAAGAATGTTATAGTTGTGTTCAAGTTATGTTCGTGAGAGAAAAACGGAGCAAATCCCCGCCGGATTTTTGCGAAGTAGGAGTCCTACTTCGCAATCGAACGCAAAATGTAAAACGGTTTTCCTCGTGGATCTGCGGTTCTCATTCATTGAAATCCATGTCTCAAAAGCTTTGTTTTCTTTGACAAATTCACTCTTTAGATTTGGACTCCGATTGTGGATTTGGATTCCATTTGATAGCAGAAGTGCCTAAAAAAGCTTGAACATTTCAACTTTGCAGCGACTTTCTACGCTACAACTGGAAAGAAAAAATATTATTGAACAAGGCAGAAAACTGAACATGACAAGCACACCTGTTTTCTAGCTCGTTTCGGTTTCACTTAGTCGAAAGCTTTTAACATGCAATTTAGTTCTTTTTTACTCGTTTATTATAATGATAATTATTGTTTAGTAGGCAATAATTATACGGAACGATAAAGTGCCAAATCTCAAATCCACACATTCATTACGGATCAAATGGACTCGGTGCGATAAGGAATATACTGCATTTAGACTTTTTCTTTCTTCTCCGCTTTTAATCGTTTTGCTGCATTTTTATTAACCTTTGTCAGTTTTCATTGAATCGGGCTCGGCAAAAAAACCCTGCACCGACATAGTTGCGGTTCTTTTAAAAATTGTTATCTTTTCAATTAAGAATAACGCCTAAAGGCTGGTTTTCACTAGCGACGGAGTCGGAGTCGGAGTCGGAGTCGGAGTCATAATCAGAAGCGTAGAGCTTATGATCTAGTGAAAACAGCGTTCCGATTCCACTTACGACTTCATCGCTTACGTTCCGCTTATGATCTAGTGAAAACCAGATTGTCGGAGTCGGAAGCAGAAGCAGAAGAACCAAACCAATCACAAAGCGTGGGAACGTGCATTCTGATTGGCTTATCCTTCCGCTTCTGCTTCCGACTCCGACAATCTAGTTTTCACTAGCTCATAAGCGGAACGTAAGCGACGGAGTCGTAAGCGGAGTCGGAAGAAAATGGAAACGTTCTGATTCTTCTGACTCCGATTCCGTCGCGCTTATGACTCCGCTTACGACTCCGATTTTTGATTTTCACTAGGTCATAAGCGCTCTTACGACTCCGCTTACGACTCCGACTCCGACTCCGTCGCTAGTGAAAACCAGCCTTAAGAAGTCATAAATATTAGGTAAAGTGGTAATCATCACCGAAAATAAGGTTTCTCATCATGTTTTGTTACTAAATTGTTTTAAACTGTTCAGCAGGAAGCAACAATTACGAGATCTTAATTAAAAAAAGAACGGAATTCACGGCCTCGTTGGCACGTTTATAATTAACGTTAATTTTTTTTAAAAAAATTCCGCGTAGAAATCAAATGACAATTCAAAATTACTTTAAAGGCATTTTAGAATGGTCATATGATTTTGAGAGGATGTGAATGGAGTTAACTGACCGGCGAAAAATGGTGAAAATATAACTGACTACCGGCAAAACGAGAAAAAATTCAGTTACCTACTACTGACATAGTCCAACATTATACTGATATTTGTATTCAAAAATAAGTCGTTTTTTATTTGTCTATTATTTCCCTTTTTTGTCAAAAGTATTTTGCTTGATTTCTTTCCAGCACAGGAGGGGTCAGCTCTATTTCAGACAGACAAAGATGAATTTAAATCCCAGTTTCGGTACTTATAGATTTTCCTGTCATTGTAAAACGGGCAACAAAAACATGCAACTTGTTTTGCAACATTGCTGTGAAACGAGTTGAATAGCGATGTTGCGCGTTTTACCGCCCATGTTCAAACCTGTTAACAACCTGATTTGTTGCAAGACAGGTTTGATGTGGTTGGGAAAACGCCCAACACTGCTAGTCAACTCGTTTTGCAGCAATGTTGCAAGACAAGTTAATTATTTTTTCTTGCCCATTTTTGCGCACCTTAAATTACTTGTGCGGAATTGTTATGAAAACCAAGTCGTATAGGTTCGATTTCCGGTTCTCTCCCGACATGCATAGAAGAACGCTCTTTTTGTACCTGCACCTCCTTCAAAGCTAATTTCAGACCGTCCAAATAATGCTCCTTTGTTTCTCCTCCTTTTCGTTGGAAATACAGGAAAGCACGCACCTATTTCCCGTACAGCGCGCGGTAATCGAGCCTACAAGACGTACTGCGGCAGTACTTTCACTGCGTGCCGTTTATCCATGCTCGAGTCATGAGAGAAATTTTGAGAGTGATCGTAAGTTTCTTTCGAAAATGTTAAGAAGTTGCAATCGAGTGCCACTGCTGCTGCGTTCCATTTGACATAGAAACAGTTATGAAGGATGTTTGGAGATTAATGAAAGGATATATATCTCACGAAATTGAGAGGTTCTCGTTGAAGCTATTTTGTTCATCTCAGTGGAAAAATCTTCTGCGGGTTAATGCGAGAACGGAAGGGTACTGGCAAGTTAGCCTGCGTAGCTGGCGGTATTGCCTCGGTGCGCGATTAAAGTTTTGGCGGCGCGGAGCTGTGATCTAAACAAGGGAGTGGGGACGAGGCGTTTGAATTTCTATTTCTCACGGCTTATGCCGCTCGTGACGGCTTCGCCGCCAAATTTCACTCGACTACTACACAATACTGCCAGCTACGCAGGCTACTAGCAGGCGGAACATCCAAATTTGATGTCCTTTGGAGGCAGCAGTGAGTTCAAAACATTTCCCAGTTAATAAGACGCACGAGTCATAAATCAGTATTCGCTGACGCCCCGGGAAACAGACTTCAGTCACTAAAAATAACTTTACTGAAATCCGACCCATATTATTCTCACTTCACCACTTATTATCTCATGATTACTTCGCTGGTCTTTGAACTGGGAACTGACTCAAGATAGATTATAGTGGCACAACCTCATCAGCGAGGGTGCAAAGGGAGCAGATGAAACGCGTACGTAACATCACCAGAATGAGCAAAACAACAACGCTGCATGTGCATTACGCTTTTTTGAGTACATTTCTTTGCCTTTCCTGTCGACTAGGACGTGACGTGACGTAAAAATGCCTAATTTCATGTTTTCTGGAGGACGTGTCAAGCGTGTCATCTATTCCATTTTCATATTCAATCTAAACAAACTTCAAATTCTTTTTCGCAGCTACCGTTACAGCATCCTGGTCCTGTGACTCCAGAGCATGGCAGAAAACCCAACAAATCAGTCGTGTTTTATTCCAGGGATCTCCGTATCGTTCCAGAGAAGTTTCTTTTATTACGCCAACTGGTTTTCCCTTCTCACAATGTTACTAAGCATTTGGTGTTTTGTATCCAATGCGATAGTCATCATTGGTTTGTTGAGGAGTGGCATCAGGTCTCTTCGTCCAGGATTGCTGATGGTTTGTAGCTTGGCCTTCAGTGATCTTATGTGGGGGGCGACAGTTGCACTGTTAAACGCTGCTGTTAGGATCAGAAATTTAATGAACAGAAATGTGTGTGAAGTGAGCTCGCAAATCTTCGAAATGGTAACAACGTATACTGAAATACCTCTCACGATGTGTTTTATTGGCACTATAGGAAACCTTACGGTCATGAGCATTGATCGATATCTTGCGGTACGAAGTTGGGTTCGATATAACGTTTTAATGACAAGACGCCGCGCCGTTGTCGTTTGTTCTCTCGTATGGTTCTCATCAGTAACCATTGGATGTCTAAAACAGTTTAAAATTCTTAGTCATACAGTCTTCCTTTCTGCAATATTAGCCCTTTTCTTCCCCTCAGCTTTGGTCATCATCATTTTCCAGATCATAACACTTTGTTTATTCCGTCGTCATAACAACGCTGTAGCACAGATAATGGAAGATAATCAAGAAAATTCTGTCAGAGATCAAAACGTTGTGGCTGAGCGCGAACTAACGAAAACAACAACGTACGTGGTTGGCGTTTTGGGACTGTTTTTCATACCTATGGCTTGTGCTATAGTAACAGGTATTATTGTGCAGAAACAGGTAGGCAAGCTTTTGAATCCCTTTGTAATTCCCCTATTTACCTTAAATTCAGGAATTAATCCATTGTTGTATTACAGGGGAAATAAGAGAGTCAGGCAAGCAATTTCCAATCTTGTAAAATGCCAGTGACACTGTAGGAAAGCCAATTCTTAACTTTCCGGGCATAAAATAAATTATAAGACTAAACTAAGTTCCTAAGTTATTTGTTTTTTTCTTACTTAGTTAATTTTAAGGGAGGCACGAGCGTACGATAGTATGAGGCGTTCGGACCCAACTGAGACTGAACAGGGGTTTAGTCACGACGCACAAAACTTGTTAAATTCCATAATCCCATTTCAATTCTCTATGTCTTGTAATGTTGTTCTAAGGACTTCGTATTTATGAGCAGTGTTTAACGGTATGAGCGTTCTCGTTACGGAAAAAAAAATCCGTAAATAAACTTGTGTTAAGAATGTGTCGCATCTTGAAGTTTGCTTACCGTCAACTGAAACGTTGTGTAATTTTAAGTTTTAAACTATTTGTGTACTTTCAATGCTGCCACAACACGAAATATAACTGCTATCAAGATTATCTTTTGATGGTTTGTTTATTTATTTGTGGTTGATAGGATAGCGTCAAATAAAGTCAATTAGAATTCATAGATGGCTGCGTTTTTGAAAGTTGACACAGGCCGTCACGAAGGAAATAGTGGTATTCCACCTGTTAACTTTAAGATTCTCGAGCATGCGCAATTGTTAGTTTTAGACCACCAGGTTATTTAGTCGTTTATGCTCGCTAAGCACCTTCGGTTGATGTTAGTGTTTACTGAAGTTTTTGAGGGTTATAAATATTTTGACTTATAAACCGGAAGAACACTAAAGCTATTACAACAAAGTACGTTTCTGACCTCATTAACTGCTCTTCGGATGAGCTTGATTATTTACTTTTTTCTGTCTGCTTTGACAGACAGGCGTGGGCTCTAAGCGGGCGTTGTATTCTCCTAAAACCCTCTTACCTTTTAACTATTATTCCACGAGTGCGCGTTGGATCTGAGTTGGCTATACCGTATTTACTCGAATAAGCGCCGCACAAGGAGAAGGAAGTTAACAAACGCCGCCCTCGAATAAGCGCCCCAGTTCCGGTGCGATGCTTATTCGAGTATTGCCATAAGATGGTAAAAATACACTGTAATCGCTGTGTTAGATCTTGTAAACTTTCAGCAACAGTCAAGACGTTGACAGCGAGTGAAGAGTTTTTGAAAACCTGCAGAGAAGTATTGACAAGGCTGTCATGAAAGCCAAAACTTAGGTTAGCTTCAAGCCGGTAAGCCATGAAAAAATACTCATGAAGTAATTTAAATTGTACAATCAAAATGTTTTGTCTTTGTGGTATGAGCTTTTAAATCAGCGCCGCACCGGAGACACGAAAAACTGAATAAGCGCCGCAACGCTTATTCGAGCAAATACGGTAATCATCTCAATCCGACAAGCGCGAGTGGAATAATTGTTTTATTGAAAACGCCCACAAAATATCAAGAATTCTTCCCGACTTTATTTGTAAAAATAACCTCTGTTCAGGCTGTTTTAAATTTTGAGCAGACGTGTAGAGTTATCATATTTGGAGAGCATGGTATAACGGCTCATATACAATGATGGCTAAGCCAATCAGTGCTCTAGAATGGCATTATCCAATGATTCAGTTTTTTAACAATTAGAGATAACAACGCGCGCTTAGCAACCGCGCTTCAGGATTCGTAGAGAACGCACGGTTACCGAGACGTAACGAATGTCGATTGAGTTTTAACTAGAAGAGAGCGAAACAGCGCAACGGTCAGTAATACGCCGTAGTTCGGAGCCAAGCGAGACCACAAAGTACATGTAACAAACAAGCGTAATTAATTCAATCAAATGTAATCAGTGTAAATTATAAGCGACAGGAAGATTCATTACAAAAGTTGTTGCGCTTTAAGAAAAATACAGTACTTTGCTAGAAGACAAAACCTAAAATAAAATCTGTTCATGCTACATTTCTAAGTGATAACTGGCTTTTTATTTCTAGGAGGAAATAACACATAAACATGGCGCTATAGTGCCGGATCCGCTATAACCGGATAAGCATAATTACTTTGTCGTTTCGTCTTTACTCAAATCGAAAGCGTGCAGCTTCGTTTCTACTGGTTAATAAAGATAGTTCTTACTATAAAAGCAATGGCTAAAATTGAATGACAAAAAGCTAACATCCCGGCTGCTACATGAATTTTCACAGTATTAATTATTTCAGTCAATTTTTGTTTTTCTTTGTTTCAAATTCATTAGCAACATTACCACAGGCTAACACAAAGGAAAAATCAAAATTTATAACTGAAATAAAAAAATTAACTGCAGCAAATATACCGTTTTTAGATTAAACAAAATAATACTAAAAACCTTTCTTCTCCGCCTTTAATCGTTCTACCATTTTGATTAAACTTTTTGATTAAACAGCTTTCATTGGATTCCTCTGTGAAAAACAATATCACTGTTATATACTTTAATCTGAGCAGAGTACGCCAACAGAATTATACCGTTTTTAGATTAAACAAAATAATACTAAATACTTTTCTTCTCCGCCTTTAATCGTTCTAGCATTTTGATTAAACTTTGTCAGTTTTCATTGGATTACTCCGTGAAAACCTGCGGACATTTTATACTTCTTTTATCACGGTTATATTTTAATCTAAGCAGAACGCCGAAGAGTAATTACTAAGGTGGAGTGGTATTCATTGGCTACAGAACATTTCACGGTAATCAAACCCTGAAAATTTTCTTAGAGACTACTTCTTTGCCATCAGTGGTTCTAAGAGACCAAACACGCCACATGCTATCAACCCTTGTCATCTTTTTCAATTTCATATTCAGTCTAAACAAACTTCGAAAAAAATTTTTTGTCGCTTTCATTATACAGTACCCTGGTCCTGTAACTCCAAAACATGGCAGAAAACCAGGCAAATCAGTCATGTTTTATTCCGGGGATCTCCGTGTCGTTCCAGATAAGATTCTTCTATTACGCCAACTGGTTTTCTCCTCTCACAATGTTACTAAGCATTTGGTGTTGTGTATCCAATGTGATAGTCATCATTGGTTTGTTGAGGAGTGGCATCAGGTCTCTTCGTCCAGGATTGCTGATGGTTTGTAGCTTGGCCTTCAGTGATTTTCTGTGGGGGGCGACAGTTGCACCGATAAACGCTAGTTTCAGGATAAAAAATTTAATGAACAGTGATGTGTGCGAAGTTAGCTGGCAAACCTTCGAAATGGTACAAACGAATTTAGCAATACCTTTCACGATGTGCTTTCTTGGCACTATAGGAAACCTTACGGTCATGAGCATTGATCGATATCTTGCTGTCCGAAGTTGGCTTCGATATACCATGTTAGTAACAAGACGCAGCGCCGTTGTCAGTTGTTCTCTCGTGTGGGTGACATCAGTAACCATTGGATGTCTAAACCAGTTTAAAACTCTTCGTCACACAGTCTTTGATTTTATAATGTCAAGCGTCATCTTCCTTTTAGCTTTGGTCATCATCATTTTCCAGATCATAAAACTTTGTTTATTCCGTCGTCATAACAACGCTGTAGCTCAGATAATGGAGGATGGAGATAATCAAGCAAATTCTGTCAGCGATCAAAACGCAGCAGCTGAGCGCGAACTAACGAAAACAACAACATACGTGGTAAGCCTTTTGGGATTAGTTTTCATCCCCATGATAAGTTTTATTACAGTGAGTGTTATTGTGCAAAAACAAGTTGCAAGGTTTTTGGATCCGTTTATAATTCCTCTGTTTACCATAAATTCAGCAGTTAACCCAATCTTGTATTACAGGGGAAATAAGAAAGTCAGAGAAGCAATTACTAGCCTTATAAAATGCAAGTGAGGCTCTAAAACAGCCAATCTTTTTCTTTTCAAACACAAAATAAAATATGAGATCCACACTTAGCAAGTTACTTTATTGTAGACAAAAGAAGGAGCATGACCGTTCAGTAAGCCACGTTCTGACCCGGCTAAGCTCGGCTGAAAACAAACTCCAGGAAAACCGCGCGACTAAGAACCTGGTTTTTTCCAAGATAGCCTAAAAAGGTTCTTATATAAATGGTAGTTAGCACAAGTTTAGGCTATTTAGGTTCTTAAATAGGTTCTATATTCTGATGGAAAAAATACAATATAGCTAAGAGTATTTATATTTCCTCATATAAAATCTGCACACCAAATTAAACGTTATATAAAAATGACTTCAACAGTGAATACTTATAATTCTTGCTCATATTAATATACTGTGTTTAATTTGTAATTGTATCAATAAAACTTTTATTTGATTTAAGCGTTGGCATTTTCATAACAGATGGAGTGAAAATAAGGCTCCCTATGTCTCCAAAGAGGATTCTGAATGTTGACTCACCTTATTAACGCAGCTCTTGCGCGCGCGCGCTGCAGAGCACCGTGGGTAAGACAATTTGGTTGTTCATAATTGTCCATGCATCCAAGAAATTTTGTTTCTAAGAAAATCGTCCGTAACTACGTCCATACATCTACCCTTCATGTAAGCCGGCGTGAATTTTCGCATTTCCCAGCACCCGCGCGTTTCGGCGATAAATCGCAAGGCCCCCGAACGTTTAGCAAAAAAAGAACAACAAAGCCGAGTCTTCCTTTCAAATAAATTTTACTGTCTACATTGATGCGGATATTTAAAAAGAGAAGAATCTAGAGCGTGGGAAGAAAACATGAAAATTTTATAGCGGCGGTGAGAAATGAGAAATGCTAGCGACCACCAAGGTCAAAATGAATGCAGTGGAAAAAAGCGAACAGGACTACATACGACATTTCCTCCATAAAACATGTAACTAGGAAGTTTCTGAAAGTATCACGTAAGATAAACAAAAATCAAAGCCAGGACTCGAGTCAAGACTCGAGCCAGGACTTCTAGCCCGGACTCGAGCCAGGACTCCAACTAGGACATTTCTAATTTATCTGTAAGCAAAAAAATAGAAAAATAAGAATAATTATTAACCAAATAAACAAAAGTCAAATAAAAGCAACAACAAGGACTCCTAACCTAATTCGTAACCTCCTAACCCTAACTCTAACCCTAACCTTACCCTAACCCTAGCCTACCCTAATCCTAACTTAACCCTAACCCTAACTCTAACTTTACCCTAACCCTCACACTAACCTAATCCCAACCCTAACTCGAACTTTCCTTCTATGATTGCCATGAAAACCCTCCTCTTAATGGTCATGGGACTTGCAGGACGTGAAAATGGCGGGTATTGTGTCGATTGCATTATAAGATTGTTCTGGATACGCTATCGCTTTCTTTTTATTGGCTGTTACAAGGCTGCGTAGGAAACTGGGGTAAAATTTGTCTCCCAAAACACTCCCACAGTGCAATTCGACAAAACACCGACCCAGCTTCCCGCTCAATTTTAAAATGTATGATGGACGTTTTTGAGTTTTAAGGTGATGTTACACGAGACGATTTGCAACGACGATTTTTACTCCGCCGGAACACAGCGTTCCAGTGTTGGAACAATGTTGTAATTATTCGAAACAATGTAGCAACAATGTTGCAAAGCGGTGTTGCGCTAAAAATCGTGGTTGCGTGTAGCATCACCCTTTAGATTGAATTTCTGTAAAAGCAGCTAATAAATTGACTCGTAAATTTGATAATTTCACTGTGTGTACAGACTTGCTGCGAAAACAATGTCTCTTTTTATCATGGCCGATGCTTCCTCCATCTTTTCGCCAAGTTTTGGATCCCCAATGATACGAGCGGCGTTTCTGACATCACGACACGTCTCGTCCAATCGCTGAATACATCGAACAATAATCCCTGAAAAAGAGATTTAAAAATAGCTACAGGTACCCCCATACTTTTAATCGGCTGACTGTTGACTCGTGTTCTAAACGAGGTTTACCTATAGGCCAGGAATTATATTAAAGGGACAGTGTCCCGATTGTGCGCACGCGCGAGCGTCATATTTATTCTTCTTCAAAAGACAATAGAACTGTCATATTGACTCGACAAGATTTCCTTCCGGACCACACCGCCGACGGAGATTTGTTGTTTACAATCTCAAGCAATATTTTAAACTTTCGAAGAAATTTTTCGTCTTATTTAAAATTTGGCTCGCGGCACGAGGACTCATCGCGATTTTGTCGCTAGCGGGGCCGCCTCGCGACCCGAAAATCTCCTTCCGCTCGCTTTAAAAACAGCTTTCCTAATGTGAAACTCCTGTCAGAGGTCAATTGTTCCAAGTCCAGTAATATTTGAATGATTTGCTCGCGTTCTAGTCTCAAACGTTTGAAGGATATACATAAAAATGTAATCGCAACGCGATGAATTATCGCAAAGGTTAGTCAAAAATTATATTATGATTTCATTGTACTAGTTTTTCTAAACATGTAGCGCCTGTTTGTTTGATTTTGTCGGCCGTAGGAAGGTTCCTTTAAAAAGTTTACTAACGCGTCGTTGCAAAACATTCTGCTTCACGAAGCTTAATTCCACAAGATCTCCTCAGTCACATTCATGTCTCAATGGTTTCTTTCTCACAGTCTCTATTATTGCTGTTTCATTTCTGCGTATTCCTTTCACAATTATCTAAGCTTGTATGGAAGCTGGTAGAAGAAATAAGCCTTCAATCGCCATAAGAGCGCTTCCCATCTTTTGGTCCTCCGACCAACGGCAATTAAGTAACGCCCAAAAAATCCCGATTTCGCCTAAATCGAAACTAATCGGGAACAATATATCATTGATCTGTAATCCTGAGAAGTTTTAGTGTAGTATCGAACTCGGTCAAGCGCAATGCAAACAGATTTTTCAAGGTTGTCTTACTCTCCTCGCATCTTTTGATTTCGCGACAAAGTTTGGTGCATGCGCAGTAACGGGATACTGTTCCTTTAAAGTGATGCATCCCATTTGATTTGTTTTTTGTTGTTTATTCAAAACTTTTCGGCACCTTAAAGCCCCTTAGCTACATTCTTGGGCGAAAAACTTTTCACTAACGCACCTTCTTGAACATCAGTCAAATTAGTTATTTCCGAGAAAGGCATTCCTCGCGCCCACTCAAACACAGCCTCGACCAGACCAAAGTGGTACTGCTCTTTAAACTCTTGTACTGATGTACTGAGACCGCATTCAGACTGCAGGTGAGCAATACGTTCCGCCATATCCAATATACACTGCTTACCCTAAAAATAAAAACCCAGTAAACAAATTATAAATAACTAATAATAAATAAAGAAATAATAATTTTTATCTCACAATGCGCGTTGTAATGATCAAACGTAATTACAAAAAAATATTAATATTAACCAAATGACAAGGAAAAAAGATTGCTGATAAATCCACATACAATCTTGCAATTAACACAAAATTACCAAACCTAAAATGTTAACAGTGCAAACGAAAATAAACCTAGAGTCGGAATTCAAATGGAGAGCTCATGGTATGTCAAAATAAGCAATGGGTTTAATAATCAAAACAACAACGTGCATGTGCAATACACTTCTTCGTACATGTCTTTTCCGTCAATGTTCGACTACGACGTGGACATTTTTATAGAGAATATAATCAAGTAAACGAAGAAATTTTGTTTCTCTTTCTTTACTTGAATATGGTTCTTAGGAATTCAACTCCAGGAGAGATCGCCTACATTTGACAAAGTAAATGAGATGAAATAATCGCCATCAAGATTAAAGGAACACGAAGTGAAGTTTTTGCCGCTGCCGCCGCCGCCACCACCGAATGGAATGGCAGTGGACTGCAGGATTTTCGAAAAACGGGCACCAGAGCGCTGTCCAGCGTCTTAGCAGCTGCATGGGCCCTGTTCCGAACTTTTCAATATCCAGAGGGTTCAGACAACTATCAAAAGAACGTTTGATATCTATCTGTCGAACAAATTATCAAACAATTTAAATTACCAATTGCTTCTCTCATCCTTTACATTACATACGAGTTTACCCGAATTCGATCAGAAGAATAAAAATCGCACAAATTCGTACGTTTGTAATTCTATGTAATTACACAATACCTCTTCGAGTGTTTTCGTCAAGTTCGGTTCACTGCATCGGCGCTGAAAAGAAAAAAAAAACGGAACTGTAGTTTCAGCGGAGCAAGCTCTTGACTCTTAAGCTATGTTCCACTATTCCGGAGAGCTTTTGTGCCGGCACCAAAACCGTACTGGATAGCGCCAAGATATATAGCACTTATGTTCACACATAAGAACGGGGATTTTTGGCGCGATTTTTGTAACGGAGCGAAGCTGCGCCTGGCCGATCCCTAAAGTGGAGGTAGTCACATATAGGATATGTGTTCATAATGAAACGGATAGCTTTTGGTGTCGGCATCCGGTATAGTCTGATCATATAGCTTTAGAAGTATGCTTCGAAGATAGCTAAGGAATTGGTTGGTCGCAAACGTGACCGTAGCCATAAGCGTATCGTACGAATCTGAAATCCAAATCTGGACGGAAGAAATTTTCACTGCTTTTTGAGGAAATGAACACACAGGATTTCGGAAAAAGAATTAAACCAATAAGTCCTTCCGGATTCCAGACACTGGCTTACCATACCAATCGCGCGTGGATGATGGCGGCCAGAAACGTCTTGGTGATTTGGCTAAGTTTTTGCTTGACAGACGTTTGATTTGGCTCCACATTCAGGCTGAACCATTTGGTGACTGGTAGGACTGCTACTGGTACGAGCTTATTTTATGAATGGTTTAGTATCAACCATTTAGGAAAACCAAATCTATTTTATCGATGTATTAATTAACACTAGAAACACGCTTAAACTAAGCAAGCTTTGCTACGAGACCAAGAGAGAATAGTGAAGAGATGTCCCATGATTCCCTCTCGTTGCTACCCGACTGTTTGTTCTATGGCACCTATCACGACACAAAAGACCACCTCTACAAAACCTAGGTGTTAACAAGTCCCATAAACCACCAAACATGGGGGGGTGGGGGGAGGGACGAGCGAGGTTTGCTTTTCCATTTATTCTGGCCAAGACTGTCACATGATTAGTACCTGCTGAAACACGAAACAAGAGAGTAAAGCAACAATCTCTGTAGGATGAAGATCGGTGAAGACATTTTCAAACACTAGTTCTGTAATGATTAGTTCATGGTTACTAATCTCACAAGCCACTCTTCCTTTAAGCTGTACCGCGTTATTAGCGTCTACGTAGCGCAGTCTTTGAAGCACCTGGAAAAGAAAAGGAAGTTCGGTGAACGACAATTTTTTTCTGTTTTAGTCGGGTCTCAGAATATTAACCCTGTTAACATTGTAACAAAATGATTTAGGCCCTACCCTAGATGCCAGCGAGACACGAAGCGCCGAGAGAGAGAGGAAGAGAAAAAAAACGTCTCGGGAGCTTTACCGAGCCATGCACACAGTTATTTTACCCTAGGTTTTTTCGAGAACGGACTTTCGGAGCCAGGGTATTTAGGGCCACGATAGGCTAGCTATTTGTTGTCGTAAACTATGACTAAAAATGTACAATTTGTTATTAGCCCTAAATAGAGCTAGGCCAAAATTATCGGTAACTTTAATTTAGTGTGTACATCGAAAACTTCTATGACTGCTGGTGTTTAATCACTTCTACTTATCAGTTGTCCAGTGGCAGATTACTCCTGTATTTTTTCTTGAGGATTAATTTTAAAACTTTTACACTAAGCAGCTGCCACCGAATAACTTTTAAGTATCGAACAACAAAAGTGTCAACAACTAGTAACTCCCAAGTCTAAAGGCGATTATAAATGGTCAACATAATTAAGTTCGAGATCTCGTTCGAGTTCATTCGCATCTTTGGCTCTGTAAGGCCTGGGCCAAACGTCGAATTTTTTTCGTAAGACGAACCAAGCAAATTTGGGTCGACCTAAATTAAGTTAAGATCGTCTGTTGGATCAGACGTCGAAATAAGGACGCGTCGAACCAACCAACTGAATCAGCACAAAAAGCAATTTTAATAAATTTTCTCCCGAACGAGGCTAAATGCACATTATTATACAAATTTTTAATTTACTAGTTTAGTTCGTCGCATGTGAAGGTCGACGTTTGTCCCAGAGACTATCTTCAGACGTCCTATCCGTCTGAAGCAGACGGATAGAACATGTTGGACGATCTAAACTCATTCAGACGAATTTAACTGAGCCAGACGTCGCACTTTTCATGAACATAACTCACTAAGTTTGGTTCGTCTCATGAAAAGTTCGACGTTTGGCCTAGGCCTCAGTCCCTCACGATCTTGTAATTATCCATTACAGAGGCTCACAATAGTTTTTCGGAATCCGGGATTTCCTTTATTTGCAGCTCGGGATTTGATATTTTAAAGCAAAATCGGGGCGAGATTCGGTATTGAAAGTATGCGCGGGAGATGGATACCAAAAATAACTACTGCACGACATTTTAGATCGGGATTACGGAATTGAAGAAATCTATTGGGAAGCGTAATTATACGGCACTTCTTGCCATAACCTCAGTCTACCTGAATTCTTTGCTGCAGCTCTTCTCTGTGTTGAAGACTTTCATCTGACAACAGATATCTCAGTGTAGTCACGTATTCAATCAGTTTCACCTGATTCGCCACAGATTTAAACTACAAGAAGAAACAAAGCGTCCGTGAGAAACAGAGTCATCAAAATGATGTTCAGGTATAAACATTTAAATTTTTCCAATGCTTCTGTGGTTTCAAATTTTTTTAAACTCTTCATAAACACACGAACAATCGACCAAGTGACTATAATACGCCACTTCACAACGGCATCCTTTTACTACAAGTACCACGATTCATTTCGTTTTTCCTTTCTGATTAAACAAGGTTTACTGAAACAAAAACAGTTCGGCTATGTTGGTTGACAAAACCTACAATTTTTTTCCTCAGAATAGAAACGTTTTTGTTCTTGTAAACCAAAGTGGTCGCTGTTGCGTTAGCTGCAATTTTGTAGAAGAACAAATTAAAAAACCCGGTCAACTTTAGATCTGCTCGAAAAGCAGCAACTCACTTACGTGCTCAGCAAACGTAGGACAATTCAAGCACTTGTAATTTATTATTTGTTCCTCAAGACTCTGTTTACGCGCTATCGTCGTAACCATATCAATGTCCCGGATGTTAAAATCTTTGATAGGATCCATAGTACCCAGGCCCTCGGGATTAGCCTCGGACAGTCTGAGTAGTTCTTGTTCAGCGCTCAAAGTGGTCCTTCCGGGTGGATCATCCCTTTATAAAAATAGTTTATAAGAAGAAATAAATACAAAGAAGAGCATCGCAGTTCAAGAAGCAACTTATGCAGTTGCGAAAAGAAAGCCTGAAAAAAATCAGGCTGGGCGGAATTCGAACCCTGGCCTCTGCGATACCGGTGCAGTGCTCTAATTAATTGGCTTCCCTTGAAAATTAGACGTGGCAGGTGTTCTATGAACTAATATTCAAACGCATCAAAGCGTCCCACCAACACTTTATAAAGAAGATCACTTTTATGGTGGTGCGGGCACTCTCAATCAATCAATCAATCAATCAATCAACCAATCAGTCCGAGCTAACAGCTCATGTATAAACGCATGACAATAATGATAATTTTAAAAAAAGAAAAAAGATTACAAATGTAAAAAACAATTTAATACCTCATTACATGAAATTTTGGCGAAACGTTAATTTAGCGATTTTTCGTAAATTTTAATTTGGTA